TATTTATTTTATTTTATTTTTATTTTCTAGTTTATATTTTATTTGCTTCATTAGGATTTTAGTTATTTTAGTTATTAAATCCAATCCCCCCCATATTTAATTGCTTTTATAGTTCAATTAATACGAAAAAATTCATAATTTGATTCACACTCTCTGTGGGATCGACCCTTGCTCGCCACTACTACCAGTTAGTAGAAGTTAGTCAAGGAAAAATATAAATTTTAATTTTGCCGCGTTGCGACGCGTGGTCAAATTTTGGCGCCGTTGCCGGGGAGTGTCGTTATTGAATTGTGATTTTTTTAGTACTAATTGAATTATTTTATTTTATTTTATTTAGGATTTTATTCTTATCATATTTTACCCCCCTTTTTTTTCTTGTTTTTCTTTTTGCTTCTTTGCAGAATACTGGGCGCCCCAGTACTCTGCTGGACAGAAAAGTTTGACCCCATACTCGCGGGTTAATTTGTGATTTTGATCGAGCTTGGCACAATTTTTCGAGATGGCAGCCTATTATCACGACTTTTATACCCATCAGACACCTTACCAGTATGAGAGGGAGATACGAGGCCCGTGGATTGGAGATCGAAACTTGAGAGGACCTAGTGGTTGGCGAAGGAACGAGCAAGACTACTTCCATACCGATGAGTATGGATATCGCTTGAGAGAGCACTCGAACTCTTTCTATGGGTACTCTGAGCCACCAATTGCGCGAGATCCCAGCCCGTCTGTGGAGGATATGGTAGAGGCATTCAGGTTAAACACATTGAAGTTTCGGCAAGAGTTCTGCGAGCCCATTGTTGAGAGAGATTCTCGTCCGTCGCTCGAGGAGATGATTATGGAGGTTACGGCTCACACCCTGAACTTTCAGCAAAGTGTTGAGGCAAGCATCAAGAGCCAAGAGGCGAGCATCAACAACCAAGGACTACGCATAAGGAATTTACAAGTTCAAATGAGCCAACTGGCGGAACAAATAGACCGACTAGTGTGTCGGCTCGTAACGAGTCCAATGAGTTCAAGTGTCACCCACTTGTGCAGCGAGGACCTCGAGGAACCTGAAGAGTGCACTTACGAGTCGGAGAATGAGAAAATCACGAATATACAGAAAACGAAGTCGAAGCAGCCCAGTACAGGGGTACCTCATACTCTGCCTGTTGCACCCCGTACTCGACCTGCTGGAGCCAAAAAGCGTACCGTTCTCCCCGCTCTTGTGTCGAAAGAAGCTGAACCGTGTCTTATGTCTTCTAATATGAAGTGGATACTGAGCAAGGATGCACTGAAGCATGCCTTGAGCCTTAATATCCAGCCTCTTGAGACGATCGAGCAAAACGAAAGGTGTAAGTGGGAGTTTAATGAGACGATGAC